GATAAACAATATGTAGGGAGTCAAGAAAGGACACGCGTGAAAGGCCCCGAGCAAGTAGCGCGTGTCCCTCCCGTGCTTCGGCCCGTTATAACCGAGAGGTTGGTAGGGCCATGGGAAGGTTGGAGGGTGGCCAGCGTGGTATAGTAGGCCAAAACCTCCTTTCTAAGGAGAGGCCTATGTCCAGCAGTGGACTAGTATAGGCTGTTGATGTGTGTGATGTGATTTACCTATTTGATGAAAGCTTATTCCATTAAATATACTAACTAACTACACATACAAATGACTATATTTAATAACTAACCAGCGTAAGACTTGCAGAAGTATCCGATTTTTATTTACGCACCTTAGTTGGTCATTAGGTACATTTTTCGTTATAACTAATGCAATGATCAAAAAGATCTCCAACATAAGGTCATCAAAAAAAAAGCGAACAAAATAAACTCCTCTTTTTTGCTATTGGTTAAAAATCAAAATTAAAAAAACAGTGTACCTTTAGTAGGTACACTGTTTTATTAATTTTTTGAAAATCATTGTAAAAACCAAAAGCCTGAAAATATTCATGCAGGAAATGCAGTTCATCGGGTGTTCTCGTGGTTAGAATGTAGTTAGTACTCACGTACAATGTATGATTGTTCTAATAGATTACATTATACTATGTAGTTTTTTTTTCAATATTACTTAAAAACATAAATTTTTGGACCTACTAAATTCTGCCAGGACTGGAATTTGGCCTTTGGACAAATTCCAGCCCTGGCTTAGTTTTCGACACGCAATTATCGGCATAGCTATATATTTTTTTAAAGTAATACGCAGTAATATGCGAGTATGAATCTGTATGATTATGAACGCTTGATCGTAACTCCGGTGCGCATGCCCCGCCTACATCGCATTTCTAGTTTACTCGCTGTTCTGTGGATACAAAACTGGAATTGTTCAAAATATAGTGGTGATTATAAAGGTTATTTAAATATTTTGCTTTTTAAATACATTTCTGTTAATTTTATTTTTATATTATTGATTACTTAATAAAAAGTATTTCCCGAATCAATTTGTTAATTACAGTTTTTTTCTCTTTCACCGACTGTCACGACTCTAAATGGCTGTCACTGTTTGCGCGTTTACATTCGCCGATGGATTAATATTGTTTTTGTCATATTGCTGACTGCAGGTATGATTAGATTTATTTTACTGTTAAGTTAATTGTAGTTAGCATTTTGTAATTTTCTGTAGAAAATAACTAGCATTATTTATTGTTCGGCCGCAACTTTCCGCTATCGTTCCTCACGGCAAAATTTTCATCCTCATTACCTGGATAGTTGACGCTCCACTACTGTGCGCTTTTCGAGACACTTTTTGCCCCCACAACCGATCTGTGGAACGGGTTATTGTCTGCGGTATTTCCGGACCGATACGACCTTCAAACCTTCAAGAAAAGAGCGTACTCCTTCCTAAAGGGCCGCCGTGATTCCTGAATTGCAGACGTTCATGGGCGGCGATTGTCACTTTCCATCAGGGGACCCGTCTGCTCGTCTTTATTATCACAACTAAAGTACGGGCTACTTACCGTACTATTCTTAGGACTGGCATAAATACTATTTCAAACCATGCATGTGGAATAACGGCTTCGACGATTTTCTTGCGATACCAATACCATCCGGATGTACTCTGAACGCGTATGCTCATGACGGCTTATTACTGGTGGAATCTGATACTAGGGCGGGGCTTGAGAGATTAGCCAATAGATGTTTGAACTTGATATCTCAATGGGGTGAACGTAATCGCTTAACTTTTGCACCCAACAAAACTTTCCAGTTACTTTTAAAAGGTAACCTCAAATCACCGCCGAGCATTAGATTTGACAATGTTACTGTAAAAAATAAAACCACAGTGTGTTATCTAGGATTAGTTTTAGAAAGAAACTTTTCATTTATCGAACATATTAAAATAGTTAATGAAAAGTCTAAAAAGAGTTTCTGTGCATTGACAAGGATATCTACTGCGACATGGGGTCTATCATTTAATACATTAAAGATCATATACGGAGCTACTTATTTAGGTTCTATGTGCTATGGTGCACCTGTATGGGCCGATAGGGCGACCGTAGGCGCTGTCCGTCGCAAACTGTTACAAGGCCAACGACTTGCACTGATATTTTTGTGCAAGGCATATAGGACGGTTAGCACTGAGGCTTTGCCGGTGTTGGCGGGTGTGCTTCCGGTCGATCTCGAGGTGCAGAGACGTGCAGCCATGTACTATTCAAGACAAAACATGGAATGCGATTTCTTGGGCGCGCGGGATCGCGGTAAAATTACAAGACGAATGGCAGCAACGCTGGGACGAATCATCCAAGTGGCGCCATCTTTACCAATTTTTTCCATCTGTTCGCGAACGGTTGTCGAGGACATGGCTTGAGGTGCATCACTGTGTCGCTCAATTTCTTACGGGTCATGGTAACTTTAAGAGCAAGTTGTATTCATTTAAATTAGTCGAGTCACCATTGTGTCAATGCTCAACACCTAACTCTCATTATGAACAGTCTGCTCATCATATGCTCTGGGAATGTAGTCTTTGGTATAATGAACGTAATATAATGCTGAATAGCTTGCAGGTGACATCTGGGGCGGTATACTATGGGGATCTTGTGTCATCTAGGGTGAATTTCCGTGCGTTTAGGCGATTCTGCCATACATATTATAGAAATCAAATATAGCTCATGTAGGACCCGTAATATTTTGTGGCCGTGGTGCTTCCCTGTTTAAAAGGGTGTATGCCTATTTTACTTCATTTTGTCTCCCGCTTGCTAAGGAGGGAAGTGGATTTACTGTATTTCCAACTCCTCCAATTTTCTTCTGATTAATTTCGTTGCGGGTTCCAAGACAGTTTAATTTCTTCCTGGGACTTCCCGAGTGTCATAACTCGGTGTGTTCGTGGGTCACTGCTGTGGATCCTGGTGTACAGGAGTTACAGTGGTGGGCGTGTGGGTGGGATTAGTAAAAAAATCAAAATATTTTTGCAAACTTGTACATAACTCACAAAATGTCAATCAATTGGAAATAATCCATACATTTTTTAAATGTCATCAACTTAGTGGCCGCTTCTAGACCTAATTTTGGACTACTCCTTTGAACTATTAGTTTAATTACTAATGTTGACTGTACAGATTAAACGAAGTTATAAAGAAATGATTATTTTAAATCAATTAATTTAAAGAAAGGTATTAATAACTTTTAATTCAAATCGATTAAATTAATAGAGAACATTGTATAAAAAAAAGTAATTAAACAGATTTGACAGGGCTACATTTTATTAACGGATCAAAACAATCATAATCGAATGATTTTGAAAGATACATAGTTTACCTTGTTGACAGAAATTACAACTCATTTGTGACAGCAAGCAGTCATTGGTATCGACTTCAGTACAATCTATATGCAAACTACAAACTGAAAATCTTTTTGAACGCAAAGTTCAAAAAATCTGCTAATTAAAACTGTAATAGTCGATGATATTTCACACAACAATAATCCCTACTCGAGATACGCAAGACGGTACAAAAGTCCCATACATGCCTGCTAGTGTCCTTTGCCTGACAATAATTCTTAAGAAATGTTTGTTTTTAACCACTAAATACACTGATTGCTGAGCTCATTGATTAATCTCGATGTAACATATCGTTTTCTACGTAATTTATATTTTATGCATGGCAAGTTTAGAAAACGTAGGAATGCGTTTTCTTAACATCACTTGAATGTTTAGTTATTGCAGTTGTAATAATTCTTTGAAAATAATTTGGTTACTTTTAGCAAAGTTCATCAAGATCATCAAAGTTCGAGGGTTCTTCTTCTTCTACTTCTAGCATACCTAAAAGCTCCAGATTTTGAACAGATATTGTTTAGCCCATAAAGCAAGAAAAACTCTGATTTACCGAAGTTTTAGTCCCGTTTTTTTAGACATACAATCTAGTTCAATCTGAATAAAACTAAATTTTTAAACTGGTTTTCTATTTACCTCTTTAGTGAAGGTCGAGGTCAAAACATTTTTATCTTTATGAGAAGAAAGGAAAACACGTTCACGGCCAATCTTTTTAAATTATAGGTAGTAAAAAAGAAAAGATAGAAAGAGAAAGAAAAAAACAAAATAAAATAAATAAAAAAGATGGAATAGAATTGAAAGTGAAGTGAAACATAAAAAAGAAAAAAAAACACACTAGCCCACATTACATTTCCACTTAAGAAATAGCCTGTAGTCAATTAATCCCAAGCATTCCACAAATAGTAATAAGATACCATCAAAAACATAACCTGTAAAAAAACGCACAAGTCTCACAACACAGTTCTTTTAAAGTAAAAACTTGTGACATCGAAAGTAAACCTAGTCGGTTAATTCAGTACTTACCTATCTATGGGAGGAGATATCCAACCACTTACTAAGTACACAGTTACTGCAGTGAAGTGAAAATAATCAAAACCATATCTTCATAACGATATTTTACAACACGTGCAGGATCTTTTATTTATCTTCAGCACGTGTTTTAAGTGGCTCTGTTAGGGAGTATGCTCAGCAGCAGAGCCACAATTGATGATCATTATTTTGTTATAGGTAACGTACATAATGTACTAATGCCGTTATCGCTGTACGTACACTACATAATGAACTTATGTCGTCAGCGATAACTTCATCGACAACATCATTTTAAGATATAATTGATCAATATTTATTACTTACACTTGCAGAGATTCAACCACAAAGCACGACACGAAGTTTTAGATATTACCATCTGTAATTAATCAAGAGTTATGGGTATAAAATATAAAAATTAAGTAAGTTAACAATTAGTTTGTCCATGATGATAGTAAACTATCTTCATTAACAATTAACTAATTGTATACGATTAGAGTATTGTTTTATCAAATAATAGTTTTTCAATGTAACTATAAATACGGCAAGATAAGTTGAAGATGTTTAGTCGAATTTTACTTCGGGTGTAAACATACATAGTCATGAAAATGTTTGTGAATATTTCAAAAGGCAGTGAAGAATTTACTAGCAGGACGGATAAACATCTTAACATGGTAAGTATTTCAATTTTAATTAGTGGAGTGCTTAGATCAGTGACCAAGCAGACAGAATGAATAAAGTACATTTCAAAAAATTACATCATTTAATTAACTATGCTTTATTCGTTCACTTAATTCTAAACGAACACATATAACCGTGAAACAACAGTGACTGCACGGATGGCGTAGTGGTTTAAGCGGTCGCCACGCCGCTTCCTACTACGCTGAGTGTTGTGGGTTCGATCCCCACATGTGACGACACTTTGTGTGATTCACATATTGCTGTTCTGAGCCTGGGTGTTCTTTGTGTCCGTTTCATGTATGTTTGTAAGTCCCCCGCGATACAGGATATACTCCTAATGCAGTTGTCTTTTTAAAATAAACAAAACAGTGAGACAAAACTCTGTAGTTACATTAAAACAGTTGCCTTTCACTGAGTGAGGTTATCGGAGCCCAAATCCCCAAGTCTCCAAGGGCAGCAACGCACTTGTGACTTTTAAGTTGAGTCCATGGGAGGCGATAGTTGCTTACCATCAGGTGACCCGTCTGCTCGTTTGAAAGCTTATCAAAAAAAAACATTAAAGCAGTTAAATCAAATGTAATATTCGATTAACATGTGGTAGTATACATTTGAAGAATATTTTGTTACTTTTATCTTACTAGCTCTAAATATATGCAAACCACGTACACCTCGGACAGCAATGAGCTACAGGTTTGACTATAGTCCATCAACGTCGTGCGCAACCGTCCCGTGGGGTGACAGACGGTGGCGGGGACGAGGTACTCAAGATGTCAGCGGGTAGCGGATGGTTTAGCGGGGAAGGGAATTGTGTGTAGCCGTGTGCTAGAATGACGCGCTACCTCGCCCCCGCCGCGGGACGGTCGTGCACGAGATTGCCGGGTTATAGTAGGAAATGCCTGTGTATTTTTTTTTATAAGTCCCCCTCATGCAATATATTTTCAGAAAGTTTCCATAAATAAATATTCTATATGTAATCTTTACTGTTATTATTTCAGATGCAAAATCATCAAAGAAATAGTCTAAAGAAGATAAAGAGATACCGAAGTGCATTTACAACTGAGCAAGTGAATTATTTAGAGGAGCAATACAGAAAGTATTCCTACATAAACAACTCTCAACGCAAAGAAGTAGCGTTTGCACTGAACATACCCGAGAGAGCTGTCAAAATATGGTTCCAAAATAGAAGAATGAAAGAAAAGAGAGAAAGTATAAATAAGGAATTCGGTGAAGAAACTGACTCAACGTCAAGCGAATTTGCTAAAGATCAATTAAATAATGTGATGAAATCATCAGCTAACGATCAACAACCACAGTCATTACCATTATTGACAACAATTGATAACGTGAGTGAGAACAAAACTGTTATAACCAATCATTCTACATTTAATTTAAATACATCACAAAGTAAAAAGCCAGAAATTAAAGTTACCAAAAACTTGACTGGAGTAGAAATAAGACTCCTTAAACCTCTCCAGTCTCCTGCAACATCTACCACACTACATAAACCAATTTCAGCTAATGATTGCACGAAATCTGAAAAGGTTTCATTAAAATTGGATAGAAGATTAAAATTGGGAGCTTCTCACCACTCCAATATTACTCCACCAACTTCTGATATTAAACCTAAGGATAAGAAGCAGGAAACTGAAGATGAAATGACCACAAACCTCAACATTATAGATCAGATGATACCAGAAGATTTATCAAACCGTAAGGATGTGGCGCCTACAGCAAATCCTACACCGAGTATAGCGGTCAGCACTCCTGGATATATTCAAATGTTACCAGCAATATCACCTTTTTATTCAGAACCTTATTTCCCTGCGAGCGGTGTACTTTGGAAACCTGTAAGCGTTGTGCCCAATATAGCTTCAAACGGAGCATCAGTGTCTGTACATATACCTAAGAATATATCAAATTTACCTAAGAAGTGTTGTAAGTGCGAGTGTCATGAACCTCTCCTTTCTTACAATATTCAACAGTCGTCTGCAAATCCTCAATACATATTTACAGCAGTACCTTTAACAAATCCTAGTGCTGCTAAGTTATGAACATTGTTTCAACTCGATACATTAGCTCGCATGTGGAAACCAAATATTCAGGTAGCTGAATAACGCAGGTTTCTAGTTGTTCTCCAGAAATAGTAGAGAGCAATCTCCAAACAAACCTTCAATCGCAAGAAATACCTATTCAAGGCCAAGATCAACACCGAAATAAATGGCTGCGAAACCTGCGCGCTGACCCAAAGAGACAGAGACAGGTTGGCACCATTTGAAATGTGGTGTGGAGGTGAAAGATGAACCTCAGTTGGATATAGAGAAAAGAACCAATGAGATATAACTAATATATAGTTATATCTCATTGGTCTTCGTCTTGCAAACGAAGACAAGCAGTTGTTAAATACTTTTGAAAACATAAGAGGCAAAATGGTTGGCCACTTAATAAGATACGACAACTTCTACAGAATGATACTGGTAGGAAAAATAAAGGCAAGAGAAAAGGAGGACGGCCTAGATGGACATACATACAGCAAGTGAAGGAGAAAGCGGGAGTCGTGGTTTATATAGGTTTATTGTTTATTGTTTATTGTTTATTGTTTGTTTTTTTTTATATTGTTTATTTTTTTTATATAGGTTAAACAGATCGCAGGAAATAGAGTAGAGTGGCAATTTCACCACCGACAAGGGCTTGGCTCTTAAATTGAGAGAGAGATGTGGAAACCAAGATCGGGATGGTTGGTGCTCCTTGGAGGAGGCCTTCGTTCACCTAGGTGATGAAGATTATTTGGAAACCATGACATGACACAGTGTTAATTTAAATTTTTAAAAAATGACAATAAATACGCGCATACTGAGAGTCTATGGATCTGGCCACTTACAATAAAATAATGAAATAACAATTATGGAATTCGAAAATTGAACTCTTCGTACACATGTTACTTTTCAATTTTGCGAGATTATCATTTGTTTTTTCATTGTGACGTCCTTTCGAAAATTGTGTGTCGCTATCAAAATGAATTTAACTCGTGAACATTTTCGTTCAATGATTTTTTATGATTTTCGATGAGGCTTAAGTCAACAAGAGAGTTGTCAGAGACTTCAATTGGCTTTTGGTGATGAAGCACCACCACCTCTGTGTATTCGTGGTTTTGAAACCCGAATAGTTGTCGGAACTATAACAGGACACCTAGCCCTGAACCGACAACTATTCATTATCAATGCGACGGACAGCCCTCTGTGCAGGGGAAGGTCACACAACGGGCAAGTATCATTCCCGATACAAAATCGCTCCTAGAAGCCTGTGAACGCCTCAGGAGGCTTCTGCGCTTCTGGACGGAGCTTGGTTGGCTCACCTAGCTAACCAGTCCTCGACGCATAAAGGACCACTCTTGAGTCTAATTTCGGCAACCGAAGCCCACAGGTGACGAAACCTGGGTGTACTACTTTGAACCCGAAAGAAAAAGCCAGTCAGCAGAGTGGATCTTTCCTTTTGATGCGCATGCAATAATGCATTAATTGCGAGGGATATATTCCCCAATAAAAGTATCGTAAGTCTTATTTCTAGTCGTATTTATCAGAATTCAGAAACTTTCAGTATGTCCTAAGTATGTTTCATTATAGTCAATCGAGTTGTAAGCTCACTCGATGCATATTTTAACTGACATTCCTTTTAATTTAATGAAATAATTATATTTTATGACGTAAATCATTCATTCATGTCTCGACTGTATTTACTAAATAACAAAGGTAATTTATCTATTGTTTTTAGTACACTTTTTGTATCCAACTTCGTGAATTAAAATACTGTATGTTTAAGCCAACAAGCCAAAGCATGTCAAAAGTCAAAATTATATTTTCAGTCATACTTATGAATATTGTTCTAATTAATATTGAAGTCAGCCGATTCCTATTTTGTAGAAAAGGGTGTATACAAATTTATACAAAAGAAAAGTAAAACCAAAGTACGCAAATAAATTATTTATTAAAAAAAAACTTTTGTTATACTTATTTTATTCTATATTACATTTGTTTAATAAGTTAAAAAGTAGAAATAGATGATAATGTTATTGTACAAGATTCAAGATACAGAAGTAACAAGTATAGAAAATAAAAATATTAGTACATCTTATAATTAATTTCGATTGTAGGTTTATCCAACAATGCTTTATATATTTACAACAGTATAACTTAAAAACTAAATAGGGTGTAAGGTTATGATAGTTTTCTATTTGTATAAATTAAACTTACTTACGCAAACCCTACAGTCTGATCTCAGGCTCAGTATCCTTCCAATATGTTATTTTATGGTATAGGGGAGCAAACGAGTAGATGGTTCACCTGATGGTAAGTGACTACCACCGCCCATGGACACCTGCAACTCAAGGGTCAAGAATGCGTCGTTGACCTTTGAGAACGCCTCCCCTCCGCCCCCCCCAGAATCAGTGATGTAATGATATAGCATTTGTACTTCCTAATGAAGTTTTTTTTAATCTCAAATGACTAGATGTTACTTGGGTTCTAATCGATTAGCTGGATTCCTTTGCGTTTATTAATTAATTATTATATACATTATAATATGATACCGTTTAGATATCAAACTTAATCTAAGAGTTATAAGCAAATACTATAGCAACGAACTTAAATTAATATGCTTATTAAATGTTTTAAATATTAACAGCTCAAAATAAACAGATGTGCCTTACATTTATAATTTACGAAAAAACTTGTTAGATAATGAGGAACACACTTATTAAACTTAACACCATAATATCTTAATTTGTACATAAATTTACTAAATATTTCATGTTTTCATGTACATTGAAGTAAAAAATATGACCGATAATTAGTATTAGTAATGATAGAGTACTAGAAGGCGTAATTATAATAATCTGCAGTCCAAATTACTGTCACCACAATTGAATAGATTGTAAGTCATATAAGGTCATATAAGTATATATTATTATTATTTTTATATTTCTAAAGCTAAATTAAAATTAAAACATTAATTATGTTCGAACGCCTCTTAATTGCTTTATGCAAACGTGTGTTTTATATACATCAGGTATACATATAGGTAAATATCATACAGGTATAATTTATATTGAAGAGTAATATGCGTTGTGAGTCGATTGCAAGTGACTATTCATTTCAATGCTATAATAATTATATGAAGCATTACTTTCGACATTCGTATAGTTCATATTATTCATATAATAATGTGTGCCATGTGTGGGGTAGATATTATTATCCTTATAAAATGACGATACGTTATGGGGTTGAACTCCGTACACGATTTGAGGAGCCTCACTTATGCCATAGTAAAGGGGTAATTGATAAGTATGTTCAGTACTTCTATCATTTGATGTGCACTGTGTTGTAGAATCATTTTTAGAGTTCTCACTAACTGTTTGTGTTGGTGGTGAGGTAGATTGTGCAACGGACTCACTAGTGAAAGATTCGCTCGAGGAATCGTAACTGGAATCTGATGATTCTCTTTTTTCTTTCATTCTTCTATTCTGGAACCAGATTTTAATACGTTTATCGTCTAATTTTAAAGACTGGGCCAGAATTTTTCGTTCCTGGGGAATGATGTACTTGCTTTTAGAGTAAGTTCTTTCTAATGTGAGAATTTGTTGTGTTGTGAAGTCTCTTCGCACTCGTTTTTGTTTCTTTACTGTTGTAATTATACCTGGAATAAAGAGTTTTTACTTTATTATTGTTAAATATAAGATTATACAGTTGTTACCTCTGTTAAGCATTTATATTTTTTTAGAGGATTGTCTTCATTCAAGTTTGAGTGTCATTTTTTTTGGGGGTAAGAGTACGACTGACATCTATAAAAATATTAAGAAATAGAGACTACTACCTGCAGTTTTAATTGTAAAAATAATATTAAACTAACTTTTAAACTATCGCGGTCCATAATATATAATTTTGTTTACGAGAATTGACGCACTTTCAACTACAACCTGTATAAAATATAGCTTGATACTGCTGATAGCTAGAAGCAAATCCAACGACATAACTTTTACCAGCAATCTCGATTTTTCGTAATCAATAATAATTAAATATATTTTATTAATAAAGAGTACCTGATTTTTGTCTAAAATACAAACATTAAAATTTTTTTTTGAACACATTATTAATTAATTTATGATTACCCGCCCACAAGGTTATGTCTATGGTATAAAAAACTAGGGATGAGATGAATCGATTACCTTAAATCTATTATGTCTTTTAGTCTAAGTTGTCCTTTACCGTTGGCTTAAACCTTTTACTTATTTCAGGATAAAATAATGTTCCACAACTTTGATAATTTTATTTATCTGAATTTACAAATAAATTTAAAATACCTATTTGTTATTTTATTACATACTAGCTTTTGCCCACGTCTCTACCCGTGTGTACCACTGTAAATAAAATAATGTTCCGCAACTTTGATAATTTTATTTATCTGAATTTACAAATAAATTTAAAATACCTATTTGTTATTTTATTACATACTAGCTTTTGCCCACGTCTCTACCCGTGTGTACCACTGTAAATAAAATAATGTTCCGCAACTTTGATAATTTTATTTATCTGAATTTACAAATAAATTTAAAATACCTATTTGTTATTTTATTACATACTAGCTTTTGCCCGTGTCTCCACCCTTGTGTACCACTGTACGTGTAAACAGACAAACAAACAAACTCACTTTCACATTTGTAATATAAGTATGGAAGTATGGAGGTGCCTTTAAATTAAACAAAATATCAATCGATTACAGTACATTGACCGATTTAGCCACATGTCATATAACTAGTCATTGTTTTGTGACATCTGTCATCCGTATCAAGCTATATTTTACGAAGTATAAATACACACCTTTGAAATGTCTGACGTTACGACCAGGTTGCACTGGACGTTGTCACACAAGTGAGCCTGTGACCACGGCCACTGCAACTTGGTGGAATCGTCAGGTGGTCATTGACTCCTAAGCCAGTAGCCGCGGGTTTGATTCCCACCCAGGACAAATATATGTATATGTGATAAGCACGATTTTTTTTTTGTTGTTGTATAGTTTGGACTATGTATATACGTATGTTTATCAACAGTCTGATTAACATAGTACAGGCTTTACCTGACATAACATAGACAGCCTTGTCTGAGATGTGTAAAAAAAATATTATTTTTTTGCAGTCCCTTACATATTTATTATTTCAAGAGCCTTCATTGATAATAAAGAGTTGTTATATGTTGTAAGGCTTTATTTTCTTTATCTACTTCTTATTGTTTTTTTATGTATACATTGACTTACCTGTTGCTTCCTGTTGGCTATTTTGAGGCCATGCCAATGTAAACGGTTGATTTTCCCAAGAGTTCGTCTGTAACAAAAACCTGTTAGTTTATTAACATTGTTTTTAAACAACAACAAATCGAAATATAATTAAATTAAAAATTTAAATTATATCTGGTTATTAAAATTGACTAGTTATTGATTATTGTATTTAAAAATATATAAAAGTCGGTACCTCACTCAAATACATTTACTTACCTCTCGTTTATCACCCAAAGACGTTAACGCACTCATTGTCATATTTTGTAATATGGTTGGAACTACATGGAACAATCGATTTTAGAAAAACTAATCTTTAAATATAGTCACTGACCAACACACCGCTTAATCACTTTCCTTTCAACTGTAAAAAAAAACAGTATGTGGATACGTCGAGAGAATAATTTATCGTCTACCCACAATTTCTTATTTTATTTTTTCTGGTGAGTTCTATTAAACCGTTTATAAAGTAAATTCTAGTAGACACTGTACCTCAAGTTATTAGCAAAACTAACAACATAAAGTAAATTTAGTGTCTTGTTTAACAATAAATAACGAACAATACGCTAAAATAAATATTGATTAAAAAAATGCTTAGGATTTTTATTAGCTTTACTTGTAACTAACTTTGTAAACACATTTTAAAAGTCAATCAATTTTAAAGTACTGCTATGGAGGGTAGAGACAAGGAGAACCATCTCATATGGGAGAAAAGTTGAAAAAGTGTCGAGCTGTATACTGAAAATAGAGGTCGCTGGCGTACAAAAAACTCCGATATGAACATCGCTGTTGTAGACGGAGTGAAGTGTGCCGAGTTAAAGTATTAACTTTTAGTGTCTGAAAGTTATTACACGTTAATTTAATGTCTTTTAAAGTCATTGACTATTTTCGTGTTCTAGTACACAATGTATAATTATTATTTAAGCCAATATAAACTTAAAAAAAATCCTTATGCGACTGTAGCGCCCCCAATTTAACGCATTTTGACTCACACTTTTTTTACACAGAGATGGTTCTCCTTGCCTCTACCCTCCAAAATCCAAACGAATTATAGTACCTTTGTGTAGTTGCACCAAGTAGTGTACTCGTAAATATTTGTCCTTAGATAGTCTTCGTTAATATAACCTACCATCTTAGAGCTAAACTGGTATTTTGGATGGTGGAACTTTTCAGTTTAGTAAACCCCAAGAGTTGAGCTTATATAATTTATTTTGGCGGGCACAAAAGTATATTAATTATTGTTTGATGGTCAAGCCAGGTGGTGGATAGCAGTTTTTCTTCTTCTTTTTGTTTGGTTCGGTATCGAAGTTATATAAAAGTATGTGCTGTAATCTAATTATGACATTATCATGACAAGAAGACTGAGCTTAAGTAAAAATTAGTGTAAAGTGTGTAAACTTTATTAATATAGGTAAAACACAAACTTATGTGAATAAATTAGTAATAATTTCATAGCAGTGCTATAATACATTTTGAAATGCGAATACAGATAGATAAAATTAAATTATTTTTGAGGTATTCTTTCTCAATATATAAGATATTTATAACTAAAAAAATACAAAAGTGGTGGTATTCCGATATTACTCAAATCAATCTTTTGATGATAGTAATAATATAGTATAATATAATATTCCATATAATATTCTACCACATACACACAAGACCATCTAGTCCCAAACTAAGCAGAGCTTGTACTATGGGTACTAGACAACTGATATAAATACATATATACTTTTTTTTTGTAAATACATACATATTATACATAGAAACACCCAGACCAAATCAAACATCAAATGTTCATGCACACAAATGTTTGACTTGAGCGGGAATCGAACCCGCGATAGTAGGTCAAAACACTGTCGTCATCAGCTTTATACATTGGACAAGCATGAGTTTACGGAACATCTTCCATGACATCAAATATTTTATTAGTCCACCGTCAAGTGTTTGTTTCACACATCCAAATGTTTCAGATTTTTCATTTATTTGTGATTGCCGGTGAAAAAATGATTGTCTTTCTTCTTGTGTTGGGTACTTCCTGTTTGTATTGTACAATTCTTCTAGGGCGTGTATTTAAAACATAACATACATGTAATAAGTATATACCTAAGTATATACCATACCTTAAGGAAATTAAAAAAAAAATTGAAAAAATTAAATGCATTTATTATGTATATTTCATTATTACTATTTACCTATTATAACATTAATGCTTCTGTGTAGCACATTTTGGCTGTGTTGATGAGTAATAGGGAACAAAACTGACGTAAAAAATAGATAACAAAAACAATATTTTAAGTTGGTTGTATTCGTGTCAAAATTAGAGTTCACTTGGTGTAGATTTTTTTGAGTTTTTGAAGCGCACAAACCATCTTTACATTTTACTATGTTTTAACAGGTTTGTCACTTAGTCGAAGTTTATCCTCAGTGATTTGTGTTTCTTTAGTAGTCAATAGTTGCGTTTACACTTGCCTTTCACTATAACATTTGATTTCATTTTCTGATTGTTGTACACCTGAAAAATAATCTAGTAAGTAACAGGTATGAAATAAGAATAGGGACGTTGTTATAAAAGTACTACAAATATCATAATGTTGAAGTGATTACATTCTTGCAACTATACTGAATAAAAACCCATTATTATTAGAGCTTATTAGAACCCCATTAATTCACAATAATGATTTGTTAAAAAAAAGAAGAATAAAAGCATAACATACATAACATATCAAAAAAAACCAAAGTGGTAGCATTTCGTCATTCATTTCGTCGTCGTCGTTCGTTCGTTTCGTTTGTTGTTTAAAAAAAATTCTCACCTCAGTGGATTCATTTCATGTCTTGGCCTCGATAGTTGATAAATTGCATATGTTACAGGCTCTGTCGTCGAAAGACTGAAATCTTGGAATTAAAATTGTGTTCACAATTGTCTTGATTCTAAGTAAGGTATTACGAAGACTCACAAAATAAAATAAAAGGTTGTTTAAAATTCATTTTTAACCAAGTTGGACTGAGTTGAGGTAAATAACCACTTTGAAAGCATCAGTAATGTTGGTGGTAGCTATATGCAGTCAATACCATGTTCGGCAAACACTAAAAATAAAAGAAAAAACGTTAAATAATAACTGTTACAAATGTACCTGTATGTCAAAGATCTTTAAAATAAGTATTGTTTTAGATACTTAGGTAACTGAGGATTTAATGCATGTTGATTGTGTTTATTTCATCAAAATTTTCATTACTTTTGTCATTGATTTAAGATTCGAGGTATTAATAAAGTCGAGTCACATCTGGACTACTTTTATTTTGTTGATGTCCTTCTTCCCTGGGCTGCTGTGCTTCTTTTTTAATACTTAAATAGTGGTTTTGCAACAATAATTGAAGAGATTAGCCACTTAGTTGAAGTCTATTGACAATGATTTGTATTTTCCTCGTGTAGGGATCTATCTTGTATATTTATATAAGGCTTATATTTGTTCAGTAGTAATTATGGTGCGTTTACTGTAAATTTAGACATTTCGTTTTTTGACTGTTGTACGCCTGAAACAAATTATAGTAACAGGTATGAATACTAGTACAGGGATGTAGTTAGAAAAGTACTCAAAAAATATATCATAATGATAAAGTAAAAACAATAACTCAACTATTCCAAATATAAATGTTAAAAAATCAAACCTAGTTTAGTGAAAAGTAGTCATACAAGTAGAGGGACAATTTAGAACTTATTTACATTTATGACTTATAAAAACAATTGGAGAATAAAAGCAAGTACATAACATACCATTAATATACCAAAGTGATCCTATATCATGTCTTGATATAGGTTGTTGAAAATCTGGATGTGTAACAGGGTCCGGCGTCGAGCAAGGAAGCTAACTAAAATAATAACCAAAATTGTTGTCTAGATCTTAAATAAGACATTTAAGTTAACATGAAGATAAAAGTGCTGCTTTTTTTAAATTATTCTCACCTGATTTCGCTTTTTGACTGTTGTACGCATGAAACATACTTTAGTAACAGGTAATGGTATGTAATGGTGTTTAGGTAATGTAATGTAATGTTTTGTATAATGATCTGTGGTCTGTATATCTGATCCAATGTAGTCTATACAAATAAATAATCTTATCTTATCTTACAAATAAATAAAATTGGAGTGTCTGTTTGTAATATTAAAATACCGCTTTTTACTAAATGCATATGTATGTTTACACGGTATATATGCCAAAATATCATTTTTTACAATTTTTGTCTGTCTATCTGTCCGGGTAATCTCTGGAACGGCTGGACCGATTTCGACGAGACTTTCACTGGCAGATAGCTGATGACATAAGGAGTAACTTAGGCTACTTTTTTTAGACTAGCTTCGCCCCGCGGCATTGCCCGCGGTTCTAACAATAAACGCGGGTAACACCGCGGGTCTCAGCTAGTATAGAATATAAGCGTTTTGGTTGTGACACTGTAAGCTTATCAAGCTTATCAAGCAAGAAGCATAGAATTTTATTTCTTACAAAAATGTACTGAGAATAATAATATAATTTTTTTAGAAGTAAATATTCTGAGCATGGATTATTCTATGAAATGATAATATGAGAAAAAAAATGTGAAACGAAATTCCATAAGACTTCAAAACAACATACAACCTTTAATTGGTGTTCACACAAGAACAGTGCTAAACTGTATGTTCCATATGTATACGGCTAGCGAGTCTATAACAGATGAGTAAATACATACGCGAGTACTAATAAGGTGAGGGTTTATAACTTTACTCACTAAAATACTTTAAAAAAATAATATAAAACTACTAAAGAACTTAACTATAAATTTGTAGAACTTCGACAACACGATTAGAAGGTCCATTACAGTTCAAGAGCCGTTTGTGAATGTGTTCCTGAGCTGTTTTCTATGCTGACTGTCTTTATCTCTATTGTGTTAAAATAAAATTCGCTGTTTAAGTAAAATAACAATTTTCCTCATTTGATTTATTAATATAAAACATAAACATTTGTATAAAAATTACCAACAAGTATATAACAATACAATATTATTATTATACAATAATACGTTTATTGTCATCGGAAAAAATATTGCGAATAATTTGAGCTGTCAACACTAATTTAACATATATTGATTTTATGAGATGATGAAACATAGACAACGGAATTTTATGATAGTGCTTACCAAAAGGCGGATGACAATGTGCACACATTGTCATCCGCCTTTTGGTAGCGTCTGAATCACGCTAGCGGTGTTTTACGAACATAAACGCTTAAATTTAACATGATAATGATAATACTTAAAAGACGGATACAAATTATAAATATACAATTATGATTTCAGGTTAGTGATTCTGACTGATAAGCCAGAAGACGTGGCATCGATTCCCGCTTAGGATAAATCATTGTGTGATTAGCACGATCATTTGTTCTGTGTCTGGGTGTAATTAAGCTTTATGTACAATATTATTATTACGTTTTTAAGTAAATATATAGATAGACCATATCAATTATTTCCAGGTGATTTATTCACAATATGATAGCAAAATAATTATGCATTGCCAACAAGTTACAGAAGTAAAATATTAACTTTAAATATCAAATATAGCTTCTAAGTTTGAAAAGTATTTCATCAATTTCATAGTCATAATCTAATACTATCTGTAGGCCGAAACTTCCTTTCTAAGAAGACGTCTATGTCCAGCAGTGGACTATTAAAGGCTGTTGATGATGATGTAGTATTTCATTATATAATAAAAACATTTTTTTACAAATTGCAGACTAGTTCTAAAAATAAAAATAAGTTATTTTAAACTGCTAACATGGAACATAGAAAGACACATTAATTTTAGTGAGTAATTCTACACGTATTAAAAATATAGTCAGCACTAACAAGTTACTAAATAATTTTAAATTGATATTTAAACTTGTGGTTTTACTTTACATTTTTTTTTTTATTAATATAGCTTCTAAGCCTCACACGATTTTGTGATAGTTATTTATCAAAACAATATAACACACATTTATAAAAATTACTAATAAATTTGCTTAAGTAAATTAAATATAACATTAATATATTTTGATTTACAAACTATGTTTGCGTAATAAATAACGCATTTTGCTGTTGCACGTTTGCGTTATAAGTCTCAAACAATTTTATGGTAATTCATTAATAACATAATATAACAAACATTCATACAAATCACAAATTGTATTGCTTACATATATTTAACATAAATAAATATATCTTTTCCCTTCGGATACCACCCATCAGTGGTTGTCGGACATGAACCTACCAAAAACCGCACGCCGTCTCGGGTACCAGTTGCCGGGGAACTAGGTGTACCCTAGAGGGAATTCCCCGTACCCCGACGGACCACGGTGTTCTCCTTCTGCAACCTAACGGGCGCGCGCGCTCCACAGCGCGTCGCGCCGCCAACCCGGCCTGCTTCTGCTAGGGTGACCGATGGCCTTACCTGTCACCCCCAGGCCTGCGCTTATGGAGGACGGAGGTCATTTTGCGACATCCGATTTCTCGAGAATCAGGAATCCGACAGAACTCCCGCGCCACCTTGCACCACTGATACAGAGCCGCAAGGGCTCTCGCCTACAGGGCTCGTGGTCGAGTTCCGGCCAGGAGACTTGCCACTTCAAAGGAGATCATGGGGTACCCCCTTGTAGCTCTGCACTCGCTTCGGTTGCCGCAGTAAATCAACTTTGCTGGTTACTTCACGGTGCGTGTCATCCGCATAACACGTGACAGCGACACCATCTAAGAAGGCACCGAGAAACACCCAGTCGTAGCCGATGTTCAACAGTAGCGGCCCTAACACCGAACCCTGCGGAACACTGCACGACATTTCACGCCGACCGAGACCGGTCCTACTTGGGTAGACGACGTCTCTCCGACAAGTATGCCCCGACTATGAGGCGGAGGTAAAGAGGCACTTGAAATATACCTAATATTAATAAATTTTGGTTTAGAAACTATGTTTTTGTTTTTTTATAACGTAAACATAGTTTGTAAATCAAAAAGATAATACAGTGATTCATATGGGTCCGGTGGTTGCCAGTTTGACATGTTGTCATCTTCGTTGCTTTCAGCAACACTTGCAGGAGAAACAGGTTCATACACCGGACTAGTTTGAATCCCTGCAACATCTTTAAAATCAACATTTTCTACGTTATTTTCACCACATCTTCCTTCTTGTTGCCCTTGTTCCGTAGGCTGATGGGCTTCTTTTCTCTTTCTCAAACGGCGATTTCGGAACCATGTTCCAATAGGTTTATCACTTAGGTTTAGTTTGTCCGAAATGGCTTGCCTTTCTTCCCGTGTGGGGTACTGATTTATTTTGTACATATCTTCTAAAACTTCTATTTGATACATTGTGAAAACAGTGCGTTTGCGCTTCCGTTTCACAATAGCTTTTGCTTTTTTGTTATCTGACCATGTACCTGAAACATAATAACATAATATGTATAGAAAGAAATACCGTATAAGAAAAAATAAAAAACATATATAAATGGATAAATAATAATAAAAAATCGTTTATTACTGCAAAATGTTACATGGTAAAGTAAAACCAAACAGATGACTTAATTAAGTGACATACATTTTATTGAGACCGTAATAATTAAAAGTTAGTTTATGCGTTGGTTTCCTCACTAAACAATACTGTATCAAGGAAACTACGCCACGTAAGTTTCGCATGACTTTTATGACTTTGCGTAAACCAGTTGCGAAAAAGCATGGCGATGAATATGTTAAATTGTAACGACTCAACCTACTAATATTTCTAGAGGAACAAGATACAACTAAGAACCAATGCCTAATATTTAAAAATAAATAAGTTTATACGAAAATGAATTTGAACAACATACCTTTTATTTGCCAAAGTGGTTCCATGTCATTTCTTAGACTAGGTAGTTGCCATACCGGACATATAGATTCCGGCATCAAGGGAACGTACTGAAATAGATAACAAAATTGTATTTACAATTGTGTCTTTACTAAGACATTATAAAGAAACAGAAAGATAGAACTATAGTTCTGTTAATATCATATTACAGATGTTACAGGTATAACTAACATGTCAAAGACTTTTAAAATAAGTAGTGTTTCAGATACTTACTTGAGGATTTACCGCATATTGATTGTGGTCATTAGACCAACAACTATGAGCACTTCTGCTCATAGAGGGTGCTTCACAGTAAAAATCGGGAATGCCTTGACCAGGAAACATGACTACTTATAAAGACTGGGATAGAGTGATATCACCAAAAATATTCATACCCTTTTATACTTGTGATCGCTGAGTATTTAGTTAATAGCTACCCCTTTCACCACAGGTGACTAATCATTAGTAAATGATAAATGAATTGAACAGCACATAATCTTGCAGCCCTCATTAGTAATTGCCAACATTTAGTTTACCTCGTTTTTAATTGCCGATGAGATTCCTAAAGAACTTTGTTTACGAAGTATTACCATAGCGTACCTTTCTTTACCTTCTATACCAATCTATCAAATAGAAGTTAAATTTGCCCTGATCTCTTCTTTCGCATGTTGTTTGTTCCTATCTACTCCCTTAACTTGTTTTGGGTCTGCGTCATCACAAGGCAATAATTGTTATCATTAATTTTAAACATTATACTGTGTGCTTATTTTTCTCTTAAGAAAGGTCAAAATTTTAAGGTAAGCAAATGCAAGAACTGTAAATGTTATTGTATCCGTGTCACATTTGGTATGCATACAGCATCATTTTTCCTCTGCAGCCAATCCTCTCTAACGACGGAAGACAAGCAGCGACAGATCGACCGGCTCTTTCTTTATACTCGTTTTTGGTCTGAAAATTGCTTCAGATCTGTATGTAGGATACAAGACGAGACAAGTTTAATATTGTGTACTTTGCGTGGAGCTCTAATTGTACTGACGCCGCTCCTCTTGTGAATCTGCGACTAAATAGTGAGTTGAAATCAGAATTGAAAAAGTTGAAATCTGCCTTCGCGTAGTAGATTTTATTAGAAAACCGTCAATGCCTTAAAATAAAATGTTTCTTAAACTTACTGTGTACTGCGCTTCTTTCAATATCTAGTTATCCATCAAAAGAGCGTCAAAATGAGCATGAATTTGTATGAAAAACTATTTATTAATACTACATGGGCAGGTGCAAAACATGTTTTTTTCGTACATGTAATCGTAAATTATAATTATTAATCATTAGATATTTGTGTTTCTTGTTTTTCAATCAACATCACTCGTCTTCAAAACTTTTAAATAAATAGTGTATCCTTTCCTTCTGTATTTCGTGCTACCTGTCTATAGCTATTTTAGAAGAAATAAACACAAAATTTGCGTAATTATCTTTACCTATGAAGAAATTTAATAATGAGCTCAATCTATTAAGAAATTACGCAGTACCGGTGACTATTTTGTAAACGAGCCCATTGAAATTAGCTATTATTCTTATTGTTAAGCTAAAAAAAGTAAATAAAATGTAATATACGAGTATATTTGATTCGAAGGCGTATACATAGCGTACTTGTCGTAGGCAACATTGCTTAACTTAGCAGATTACAAAAATATCACAAAAGCCTTCATCGATGGAATCACTTCTCTGATTCATACCTAATCATGTATTCATATACATATGCATTTACCAATATTTAAAATGAATTAAAAATACATTTAAATTAGAAACTTTAGATCCTATTGAAAGATAAGATTGCAGATCCAAATTTTTCAAATCGCAATGCAGATTATCTATACAAAAAACTAGTGAGCTCACTTGTCACTTTCTTTGTGAACTAAAATAACGTATTTATATTTATTATTTGAATAAATCAATGCGACCTTCTAACGTATAAGTACTATATAAAAGTAATTTAATAACTATAATTAGCTATACATTTAAATGAAATTACGAGCAAGCTCCAAAAAATATCATCATCATCATCAGACTTTCGCCGTCCACTGCTGAACCAAGGCCTTCCCAAGGAACGGTCTCCCAGTCTTGGGCAGCCGGCATCCTGCATTTAGATTTTTAGAATATGTAGACTTCTTTCTTCTAAAGAAATTCTTTAGACTTTCATTTGACGACGATTTATTTATTTTAAAGTTCAAACATACCTTTTAAGACTTAAAGATACTGAAATCGTTTATAAGGGTCCAGTGTTACCCTTCATTATTATTAACAGCAACAATATGAGCTACTGTAACATCATCAATACTGACATTACTCATATTATTTGTCAATACTTTGCATTACCTCGTTACCACGTGTCCAAATTCATCAGTCTTTTTGTTTTTTTGTGATTTGAGGTATTCAAGTCAAGCCACATCTAGACAAATTCATTCATTTCATTTATGCCTATGCCTATGTCTAGATAAAAGTTTTAAGCATTTCGAAACCTTCTTTTATCTTGGTAGTAACTATTTGCAGTCAATCCCATAGTTGGACAACACTGACAACAAAAGAATAAAATTCAAGAACAACTGTTACAGATGAAACTACACGTCAAATACTTCAGAAATATGTATTGTATTAGATACTCACTTGAGGATTAACCGCACATTGATTGTGTTTATTAGACCAACAACTTTGAGCACTTTTACTCATAGCGGAAACTATTGGAAACTCGTTCAAAAAACATAATTACTTTGCAGACTGGGATGAAATGATACATCGAAAATATACATTTCTTATACGTATTTACAAAATATTCTTCGTCAAACTAAAATAATAATAATAATAATCTCTGTTTGTGCGATTATGGACGAAGTTATCATGACGAATAACTATCGGAAATATATCCTGAAAGATGGTACGGTTGACATCTGTCGGGCATGCCACCGTCCTGGCGAATCAATCAGGCATATTATTTCTGGTTGTTCTCGTCTTGCTAACGGCGAATATTTGCACAGGCACATTTGCACAACCAAGTAGCCAGGATCGTACACCAACAGCTTGCCCTTAAATACCATCTTGTGAATCTAGAGATGCCATACTATAGGTATGTGCCCGACCCAGTTCTCGAGAATGGTCGGGCCACGTTGTATTGGGATCGATCTATTATCACAGACAGGACTATTGTTGCCAATAAGCCTGATATTGTGCTGATAGATCGATTAGAGCGCCGCGCAATGATTATTGATATCGCTGTTCCTCATGACGAGAATCTCGTGAAAGTTGAAAAAGAAAAACAAATCAAATATTTGGATTTATCTCACGAGATTGTCGTGTACATCGTGGTACGCGACTTTACGTCGATCTCCTGCGAGCGGCGGCCGAATAACAGGGGTTGGTGGCAGCCTCGCCTCCAGGCCGGCGAGACGCCCGTCCATCATACGCTACACTGCGTCAGTAATTTGGCGCAGGTGGGCATCAGGGAGGCCCCCGAGATTGGGAGCAGGGACAAGCCGCGACGAAGCCGGCTGTTCCCGCTCAGCGCGATCCGCCCGAAATTGGGCAAACTCTCCTCCGTCAGGCGGTCATTAGCCGCCTGAAGACGAGTCACGTCGCCAATAAGGGTCTCCACGACCAAAGCAACAGCGGAAGAGGAGTTCTTAAGGGCCCTCACAAAAGAACCCTTAAGGTTACTCGACTTGGTGGCCACCTTGTGGATGATAGCCACCGCCGCTCGCGCTCTCTCCTACATGGCCGATGTGTTAGGGGGATAGAACCCCCTTCCGTCGGCTCCTTGATTTTTGGCAGGACATCTGCAATCTCCTCTTCCGCTGCGATTTCGCCGTCTACCCTGACTCGTCTATAGGCTTCCGCCTTGGAGAAGATAGAGCCCGACGGGGCCGAAACCGGCTTTCGCTTCCTCCCACTACGGCTGCTTGCCACTTTGGGAGGCAGCATCTCCTGGGAAGTGTCGCTCTCCTCATCTCCCATCTCCGCTCCGCGATGTCGCCCAGCTCCATTACTATGGGCTCCAGTGCGTCCGTCCTCATACTGGAGTTGACTGGACTGGACTGGACTGCACCGTCGGACGAAAAGGTGGATCTAGAACGAAGACGTTCCGATGTTATTCGGCTCCCAGGAGTCAGACCGACTACTGGGAGCCGTGTTGCGATAGGCGACTCGAGCAACAGTTGCTCCTCGTTAGACGAGGAGTTATCCGCCCTTCCACTTCTTTCCCTGCTTTCTTATTTCTTTGTTTGATTTAATTGATTCCATAATTGATCCCACGAGTGGGGGAGAACTAAAGGTCCACCCGGGCAGAGATCCCCCAATACCCGGGCAAGCGTAAGTTTATGCCCAAAAGAGGGGTCCGCAACTGCCCCGGCTTTGAGTGCGCTTACGACTGAACTACCCATCAGCCTTGCACCCCCTGGCCACGCACCATAACACGGGATTCGGGGAATTTTTTAGAGAGGTTTTCTTCCTCGCGGTCCGGGTGGTTAAGCCGAGACCCTCGCCCCCGATCAGAGCCGCGAGACTTGACCGGGATTGCGATATGCCGACGGTGACAGGGAGACTACGTCCTGCCTGCTCGGTGGTAGTGTCAGTACACGCCGAGCCCGTCCTCCTTTCTCCACCGCTATCAGCGGAGAAACTGGCCCCTACAGGGCCCCACCTTTTTTACCGAGATTTCCTCCTCCATGCTCCGAAGAGCGAAGAGCCAGCAGGCAACCGGCAGACACGCCCACCCTGCTGGACCAGGCCTTGCCCGAGAGCCGATGAACGGCGTCCTCTTCTGCTAGAATATTAACCGCTGGCGATAATCCTCTCCTCCATGTGAACAAGGAGAAAACAGTGCCATCGCCAGCGTTTCCAGGGTGCCCCACGGGGAGGTTTTCTAGCGTAGCACCCCATGATTCCAAACTACCTAAGTCTAAGTCCTAATCATATCCAAATCGCTATGTTTGAGCGCACTGGTTATGCTATCTGGTGATGGTCTGCGGATCTTTTTTTTTATCCCCGAACAGCCTGGTTAGCTTTATTTTAGTGCCGCATGTTTTGTGATTGAAGAATTTATCGGTTTGCTTACCCTTTTTTCTCCATATTTTTTCTGGTGTCTCTTTTTAATTTTTTTACTTCTTTGTTTTTTTTCCACTTCTGCAAAAAATTTCTTCCCCGTGACTGAGGTTATTACCTCAGCGCCTTTTGTAACCCGTTTTATTTTGTGGGCATATAATCTTTTTTATCCTGTTAGCAACAATTCTTCAAAGTTGCATAAATGTTGAGGTTGTGCTTGGGTTTGAAGCACTATACGGTGCACCGGTGTGGGCGGCGGCTCTAACCGCCCAGAATAGGGCACGCCTCTGGCGCCCTCAGAGGGTAATGGCGGTCAGAGCCATACGCGGTTACCGCACCGTTTCGACGGAGGTGGCGTGCGCGTTGGCCGGAACTCCCCCGTGGGATTTGGAGGCGGAAGTGCTCGCCAAAGTTTATCGGCGAGTGGCTGACTCCCGGGCGGAGAGCGGATTTCGCCCTCCGCCCGAGGATGTGCGCGAGTGGCGCGAAGCCGCTCGCCGAGCCACGATGGCTCGTTGGTCGTTCCGGCTGGAGACTCCACGCGCTGGCTTCGCCGCCGTGGAGGCTCTCCAGCCGGTCATCGCCGAGTGGGCAGGGCGGCAGCACGGGACCCTTACCTTCCGGCTGACGCAGGTGCTTTCCGTGCTTTCTTTCAGGACACGGTTGCTTCGGAAAGTACCTGCACTCGGTCGCTAGGAGGGAACTGAGTCCCGCCTGCCACCACTGCGACTGCAGTGAGGACTCGGCCCAGCACACGCTGGCGGTCTGCCCCGCATGGGCGACGCAGCGCCGGGCCCTCACTGCAGTCATCAGAGTGGATCTCTCGCTACCGGCCGTAGTACGCTCCATGGCCGATAGCGACAGTTGTTTTACCGCGGTCGCAACCTTCTGCGAGGAAGTAATCTCGCAGAAGGAGGCGGCGGAGAAGGCCCGGGAGGACGACCTCCACTCGGACCCGATCCGCCGCCGGCGAACCGGGCGGCGGAGGCGCGCCTATCACCGCCTCATGCCGCCCTGAGTGTGGCCGCGGGTGGACGGGGTGGGTTTCCGCTCCACCCGCATTAGTTTGGCCAGCCGCGAGGGGGCGGCGTCCGCGTGTGCCGGACGTCACCTAAAGAGAGGAAAATTTTGAGACGGGGCCCGCAACAGGAGCGGGCCGGCGCTAGGAGGGGTCCGGATGTCTTAATAACAGCTGTTCCCGGATCCCTCCTATTACAAGCGCAGAGTGGCACACCGTGTGGTTTTAGTCGGTCCGAGTCCGACACACCACCCCGCCGCAAACCCCGGTGGGGTAACGGTCCGAGGGGATTTCCACACGTTAAAAAAAAAAAAAATGGGTTTGAAGCAAAGGTTAGGCTGGTCTTTTGATGACTATTTTTGCAATTATATGTATTTTTGGTAGTGTTTGACTTTGTGGTGACTTTGAATTTTGCAGACACGTTGGCATCTGAGTGGACTGTTTAAAAAACAAAAGGCATCAGTTGGACATCTGACTTTGATTGTTTGGATAGAAGGCAACATTATCATTGTTTGAAATTTCAATATTCTTATCAATGGTAGAAAAAAGATAGTATACAGTATTAAATATTACATACAGTATACAGTATTAAATATTTTCTTTTAAGGATTTTGGGGATTTGAGATCAGTGTGAGTAATATCAGTTTCTGTTTTTTTTTTATACCTGTAGTAATTAAATGGATCATACTTGTCTACTGGTATGATATTTGCGTTAAAGAGATATACCCGCTTTCTTAAATCCTCTTTTTATAACATCGGGGTTTATTCGTTGACAAGTTTCTGCCATAGCTTGGGTGAATACATTTTTTGGCATTTTTGTGCCTATGTGTCAACGTTGCCAATTCACAAGTTTGGAATTGGCACTTTGTTTTGAATGATTTTAAAAGTGCACTATACAAATGCAAATGCGGCGTTAATTTGAGAATAATTGTAATTCCATTCCGAATCGCCAGCTCTACAACTCTTCGACGTGAGTCGAATTCCCATCATAAATTATAAGGACCAGTTGCTCTTCACCAATATTTGGGATTAGTACTTTTTCGAAATAATTGTGAAAGATATCCGTCTCCATCCACACTTTAGTACTGGCGACGTATGACAACTCAAAATCGTAGTCTTCGAGATAGGCCATCCACTGGTCCCAAACGTATTTTCGTTCCTAAAAACAATTAAAGGCGGCAACTTCTTACCACTAGCGCTGGCATCTGCCAGCACGGTGATATTTTCTTTTCCACTGCCGTGAAGACGCGGCAGCATCCTGCCCCAGGGTGACTACGGTCTCCCCGGGATGTGCCTCAGACATGTTGTACGGCTGGGAGGAATCCAGAAGGCACCGATACGTTCCTGGAGCTCCTCCCGACTGCCGAGGTAGGCCGTCGCAGGGTTTAGTGGGTAGACCGGGTCTCCGGGAGTCCCACACACGCCCTGCGTTTCCCCACTGGGAGGGAATGAGGGTATGGTGCGAAAAGCATTTCCCGCGTGAAAAAAAGCGTCTTATACTATTGTAATTTACTTTAACGTGGCCATGAAGAGTCGTCATAGGAATATTGAACTCATGGGCTGCTTTGTACGCTGTCAATTCACCATTCTTTACCTTCTTAATGGCCTTGACTAAGTCTTGTGATGTGCGTCTTTTATTTGTTTTTCTGGTGTAATCATTATAATTCTGTAAGTAAGAAGGTCCATTCCACCATAAATTATTATTAACTAACAGATCCAGGGTCATTCCTCCAGACAGTAAATCAGCTGGATTGTCCTTACTAGCTATATGAAGCCACTTTAAGTGTCCTGTAACTTCGTTAATTTCTGTGACCCGGTTTTGAACGAACGTTTTTAGGTTTGCTGATTCTGTAAAGAAAATTAATTTTTTCATGCTACAGCAATATAAAATTATGAATAACATACATTTCACACGACATGAGTAAAATGTACTACCAGAATAGAACAATGTCTTATTTTATGTCTAAAAGAAGATGAGCAAAAATGTATGGAGGTGTACCTAGGAACCTATAATATGATATATCATTCGAAAGAATTTTTATATATATTAATTATAATTATTGTTGTGGCGGAAAGTAACATGCGAAAAAGTTATAGGCTAAAATGTCCATTCTGATTTTCATATTAACATTATTTATTCAAGCTCTCCATTATTAGATGTCAATGATTTAGTAATATTCTGAATACACAATTCTGAAAGCTAATGAAATACAATACATCAAATAAAATTTGAAATCAATCTGATAGATAGATTTTGAGATTTGTGCGATAAAAAAAAGTGACCCGACATAGGATTAATTGCCGTATGGAATCTTGAGGACAGCGCCATCTAGTATCAAGTAAGGCACAACATATACTACGCGTTGAAATATTGATTCTGCTGCTGCGCCATCTAGTGTCGGGGAACGGAAGATTATTGGTACTGGAAATTCCTCTGGAACGCTCTATCGAATCCTAGGGATTATTCTAGTTATTACGGCAGCTCTATAAAAGAGTAGCGTGTTGGCCGTGCAGGTATTATTCTACAAGACAGCTGATTCACATCGAAACGATTTTCTAGTGCGACTAAGGAGTTATTTAGTTAAGTTATTGTTCGTATGTGTATTTTTAAATACAGTGCTAATTTTGGTAATTATGCCCGGCTCGTTATTTTCAAACCATACTTAAAACTAAAGTTATTTGAGCCATTTAAAGTTACATGATTCACATTTTACAAAATTATGTAAATGAAGACTGGTTTTATTTTTTATTGATTATTGAAGGTTTTTTTATGTTAGAGACAGCAGACGAGCAGACGGGTCACCTGATGGAAAGTGAAGGTCGTATCGGACCGGAAATTGGTTGTGCGGGGCAAAAAGTGTCTCGAAAAGCGCACAGTAGTGGAGCGCCAACTATCCAGGTGATGAGGATGACGGGGCAGGAAGGGAACAGCCGGGTTTTCACACAGGAGGGGTCATTTATAAGCCTTAGATGGCCCGAGGTACTTCGGGGTACCAGGGCTTTCTAGGGTATACCTGGCTCCTGGCTACTGGTACCTGGAGACGGCGTGCGGTTTTTGGTCGGTTTGAGTCCGACATGATCACCTACTGGTGGGTGGTATCCGAGGGGAGTTCCGCACAGAAAAAGGTGATTATAATGAATATTTTGCCGTGTGGAACGAATGTGTAGTCCGAACAATTCCTCGGAGCACTCTCCATGATATATGCGATAGAGAATGCATGTACTTGGTTTTAGTGTATATCTAGGAGATGGCACTGCCAAATACTAAGTACAAGACTTTAAAATATAGTCAATAATGTTAGTGGCTGATACAGAATGGTTTGCAGAAATAATGCTTTAGTGCGCATCCCTCTTAGCAAATAGCGCAATAATATGTGGCCAATATACTGTCCGGACCTCTTATATGGTAATATTAATATAAAATTTTAATTAGGTAAATCTATGCAGTTGTTTACCTTCGACAAACATACAGACAATCAGAAAAAATCTAATAACTATATTTTAGGCACCAGTATGCTGTCGGGGCACCAGGGACTTCCTTTCTAGGGTATACCTGGTTCCCCGGCTATTAGTAGGTACCCGAGACGGCGTGCGGTTTTAGTCGGTTCGAGTCCGACATGCCACCGACAGGTGGTATCCGAGGGGATTTCCGCACGGAAAAAAAAAAAAGGCACCAGTATGCTTCCTAAAACACGTAACGTATCTACAAAAAGTATGTATTCAATGTACAGTTTGTAGTCTGTTACGATTTTATTAAATGTATAGATTCATTTTGTGTTTCTATCCAAAGACACGTGGAGGCAATAAACCCATTAAAATATTGAAATACGTCATGTTAAAGTTTATATTTCATTATTCCACCTGGGCCAACTGTTTTTCTACGGCATAACAAGGTATGACGATTATGGCTAAATGGCTTGACAATAATTTATTAACTTTAAATACTATCAAAACCAAATATTTATGCTACCACAAAACTGCAGCTTCTTCTTCAGTCTTAAGCATCCGTCGTCCAAACATCCCAATTCACACGTGTAAATTTGATCAGACTATTTGTAATTGTAATAAAATACAAAGGACACGTAGCATTAACTTATAGGAGTAATCCTAGATGATAATCTCTCTTACAAAGACCACATCGTGGTAACTGCTGCTAAAGCAAGGAAACTAATTTACGTTGTAAGACAACTTAGAGATGTTGCTGATTTTCACTTATAATAACAAAATACATATCATTGTGTCAATTCATCCTGACTTAATTTTAAATATCTTAGGAGGTTCAGCTGCAACACAATGATTATTTTAGAAATGGCTAAGAGATCAGTTTTAAAAGTTATGTTGAAGAAACCATTGAGATTCGCAACCACTGAACCCCTAAAGAAGCTGAAGTATTGAGTATAAGATGATAACACAAATTTCAAGCCATTACTTCCATACTTAAAAAGGTGTTAAACGCCCCTGATTACAATAAAATGCTTAGGCAAATAATTTTCAGTCACTGTTCCTAGAAACGAATCATCCTTAGCAAACCGCTCTCAAAAGTTCTTGTTTCCATATATTTACAATATGGTTGTCAATAGGTATACTTTTAAATACGATATAATATGAGACGGTAAACTCAAAATCATAAATACCAAAAGCTGTCTTAACCATGAAGAAACCGAACAATTACTAAACATTTCAACATGAAAATGAAAACTGACATATACACATACTCAGATATGTACACACAAACACACACACAAGCACGCACGTACACAAGTGGCAAGCCTACACACACGCACAAACACAGAGACTCACACTGCCGCGACCACACACACATACTCATAGTCCAACTTAGTCAATTAAATAAATACATATTTTAGAAAACTGTGATCTCTTTCAATTATTTTATATTAGATTTATAAAAATTCTAACATTATTACTACTGTCCAAATGTGTGATCGTTTTTGTATTTATAGCCTCGATACAGCCTTAGCCAAGTGTGGCTAGTATTGTTAAACAAATTATGTAAAACTGGTCTTCAAATAAATTTATTATTATTTTTAGTAAGTAGGTTCATTACAAAATTATATCTGATTAAGTAATAGTCGATTATATAAATTACATCGTTACATCTCTTGCTCACTTAAAACAATAACAATATTTCTGTAGTAGAATTTTAACGTTCATGAAACTTTAATCAGTTCATGTGGGTGAAAATTTCATCTACTAATTAACTGTAAAAAAAATCATAATCCATCTATACATCATTTAGAAAAAACATACCAAAAGAATCATATGATTCAATTTCTTTTTCAACCTAAAAGCACTTAGAATAGATTTGAACTTAATATTATAAAGAAATGTACGAAGAATATTTGGAGGTTGAAGAATGCTGAGCTGTTGGATCTGAAGCTGGTAAGTATGAAAAGTAAGGATCCTGAGGCATTGTCAAAGTAGACGTCCTTGTACGGAGACTGCTCTCATCATATGTAGGCATTGTCGCCGATGCCATGGTACTGAATGTATAGCTATCACTTGTAATAGGAGGGATAACAACACTATTTGTCAATGGACTATAATAAGATGAACTAGAACCAAATCTCACTAAGTCGTCATTTAGTTTTAAATTTGTCCCGTTTGGCACGTAATTGTCCGACGTCAAAGAAGGCAGAGTATTAGAATTTGAAGGAAGTGATTCATCGTTGTTGTACCGATAAAGCTCAGGCATCGGTGAGTAAGCTGGCCTGCTCGTTCCAGCCGTGTAGTACGACGAATAGGATAAGTTTGGCGTGTATGACGGAAGCTCTATTGTACTTTGAGATCCTTTTATGACGGACTTCAATGGACTAATTGATGAATACTCCGGTGGTCTTGTAAGACTATCGTTAGAAGTTAAATAAAGTTTGTGATGCGAAGCATGATTATCAGTAAGAAGGCGTCGATGTCTATCGTGTCCACCACAGCCTCTTCCATGGCTCGTTTTATGATCTTGACTAGGGGACATCTCCTTTGAACTTGAAGGGCTGCTGACGTCTATAGATGAAGATGGTTTGTTGTGTTTGTTGTCTTTCTTGTATTTCATTCTTCTGTTTTGGAACCAAATTTTGATTTGTCTTTCTGAAAGTTGCAAGTAGTTTGCCAGCTCGATGCGTCTTGGACGGCAGAGATAACGGTTCTGATGAAACTCATTTTCTAACTCAACAAGTTGGGAGCTGGTGTACGCTGTACGAGCACGTTTCGTAAATCCCTTTTGGTAAGACGAGTCGTTGGACATATCTGAAAAATATATGATACCCGTTTAAGAAAATTTTCCATATCCCTTGATAAAAAGTCAACAAAGTCAAAATTATGTTTAAGAATAATTAAATTAACAGATGCTCACCGGTAGCTGATACAGTTGAAGATGTTCTAATAGGAGTACTGGATGGTGAATGGTTACTCCATGCAGAATTCTGGAATAATACAATAGAAGATATAAAACGTCTTGCGTTGACTATAAATAGTGATATAATAAGGTTAGTTCGACCTATTTCTTAATTGGTACTATCTTCAAGCGAATTAAATTCTCATTAAGGATCCGGTTATTCTGCGGTAAATCACAGTATGTACATTACTTTGTCAAAAATAAAGAAGTGGGTCTTCTAATGTAACACATAAGGTATAAATTCCTGTCACACTTACCTGACTGGGAAAACTAGAATCTTGTAAGTTGAGTTCTCTGGCAGAATCTTTTATAACTTCGCTCCCTACATCACTTCTGTCATGATAGCGAGTCAAGTCGTTGTTAGCATAATTATTTGGATAAATAATTTGATGTCCATGTATAGCGCTGGAGCAGTATATGTTATCATGTTTATCAATGCAATCCTTTGTAATCACTTCTTCTGTTCCCGACCCGTAGTTGTTGGAGTTATTGCTAATATTTTCATAATTTGGAATTTCATACCCATATCTTGGTTCTAAGTCATCTTGACAGTTGGCGGGGTTGAAGGATTGATGCAAACCGAGAATGTCATGAATACTAAATCCTGTTGAGTCTCTAGAGTTGTAGTCTTGTACAAAAGAATTAGGAATTGATGATACAGTTTCAGGCTTGCAATCAGTGAATACGGTGTCATTGATACCATAATGTACACCTTCAGATAGTATGTCCTCAACACCATGGGAAGTTATCCCACTTAATCTGCAATCATTTTTCTGGGAGATGTCACTCGTAACATATCTTGAAGTAGCTGTTCTTGATAATTCTGATGTGGTTGCATCTCGAGAGCCTTCATTATCTGAAACTAGACTCGGTGGTGATGATGATGGCTCTGACATTTTCCACTACCAAACTTTTCTTGTTTTATTAAATCGTAATTATAAAGTTAGCGCACTAAATAGTACCAATCACCAAACATCTATACGACTGCACTGAGTGACGCTTGTTTACAAAATGCTTTTCGTCACCTGAATATCATTAATTTGGTAATGACTTTGTTTGTTTGTGTGAGTAGTTTTTAAAGGCCCAATGCGTCTGTGTGCCGATAAGGTGGACATACCTTGCCTCCGATAGTGCATACAATAGATAATACTTTTAAATCTGTTTCGGTAGCTAAAACGCCTGTCACAACTATTTATCCTAAATAGTTGTCTTTGTTGTTGATTTTTGTTATATTTAAGTATACGTATGATAAGTTTCCAGAAGAATAAATATGAAAATAACCTCTTCTTATGAGTAGGTTAGTTATTGAAATCACCTCAGTTAAAATAAGTTATTTATAAGAACTCACTTTTAGACGGCAATTAGCATACCTATAGATGTACCTATAGATGTAGTGAGTGTTCTAATAATCTGAGTTGAGGATCAACTATAGTTGATTTTCAGAATTTTTCTCAAGTGAGCATGTTTCAATATAGTTTTATAAATTAACTTAACTTAGTGAAGGCCCTACTAAATAATTCGCTTTGGTATGGAGCTCCTGCCTAGGCAACTCATAAAACCTACACCGTGACGACATGCTGTGCCATGATACAAATTTCATCTTAAACACAGTGACTTATTTATTTAGTATACCTGTAACTTTAGATATCTATACAAAAAAATAAAATTGAAGTGTCTGTCATGGGTTAATAATTGGGTTTTTTATGATCACACGGTTATTTGCACAATACATATGCCTAAAAACCAGTTTTTTTTTGTCTGTCTGTCGGTCTGACTGTCTGTCTGTTTGTTCCGGGTAATCTTCTAAACGGCTGGACTAATTTCAATAATATTTCACTACCAGTTAGCCGTCTGCATAAGGAGTAACTTATCCTATTTTTTAACCGACTTTAAAAGGAGGAGGTCGTCAATTCGGATGTTTATTTTTTTAATGTACGGGCATAACTCCGTCAAATATGGTCGGATTTCTTTTTTTGTTCGAAAGGGACAACGCAGGGCCGGCGCTAGCTGTTCGAGTGCCCGCGTGCAATACCGATTCTGCCGCCCTTTTTTCCGTGTGGAAATCGCCCTTGGGACATCCTCCACTGGACAGCCTGTGGGGGGGTTATGAATTTAATTTCCGATCAAGTTATTTTTATCCTTATTTCAATGAGTTCAGAAATCTTATTACTTAATTTTGATACACTTATATCGCAGCATGTTGTGGAATGTTGCGGGTCGCCGCAGCATGTCGGGTCCCGCGGTTTTTTTGGGACTGATCTCACCCACGCCCACCACTGTAACTCCTGTACACCAGGATCCACAGCAGTGACCCACGAACACACCGAGTTATGACACTCGGGAAGTCCCAGGAAGAAATTAAACTATCTTGGAACCCGCAACGAAATTAACCAGAAGAAAATTGGAGGAGTTGGAAATACAGTAAATCCACTTCCCCTCTTAGCAAAGCGGGAGACAAAATGAAGTAAAATGGGCATACACCCTTTTAAACAGGGAAGCACCACGGCCACAAAATATTACGGGTCCTACGTGAGCTATATTTGATTTCTATAAAATGTATGGCAGAATCGCCTAAACGCACGGAAATTCACCCTAGTTGACACAAGATCCCCATAGTATACCGCCCCAGATTTCACCTGCAAGCTATTCAGCATTATATTACGTTCATTATACCAAAGACTACATTCCCAGAGGATATGATGAGCAGACTGTTCATAGTGAGAGTTAGGTGTTGAGCATTGACACAATGGTGACTCGACTAACTTAAATGAATAAAGCTTGCTCTTAAAGTTACCATGACGCGTAAGAAATTGAGCGACACAGTGATCCACGTCAAGCCATGTCCTCGACAACCGTTCGCGAACAGATGGAAAGAATTGATAAAGATGGCGCCCCTTGGATGATTCATCCCAGCGTTGTTGCCATTCGTCTATGAGGCCATTATAGACATCGGACTGTTGAATCGGACTGCTGTTGAAGCAATCTTGTAATTTTACCGCGATCGCATCGCAAAAAATCGCATTCCATGTGTATCGCGGTTTCATTCCACAGATTATCATGCCACCTCACCGTCGCTACCTTTCACTCCCAGGACCGGCGTTTATGAAGAACGGAGATCATCCAGCGACCACCAGCGCTAGTCGCTCCGTGCAATGGTAGCTATCAGTCACGAGGTCATGCCTCTGCTCCATACAAACTGAACATTCTGGCAGCGTATAAAGCGTCATGACCACGTTCTGGCCATCGTAGTGTCAGCACCCGTCCGTTGGCTCATTGCGGATCAGACACAGGGGACCTCCAAAGCGTCCTTTGCGTCAGGCAATATCAAAGGGTCCCGTGTTTCCTATCGAGCCAATCCTCCATAACGCGTCTTACCGTCGCAATAATAGCATGCCAGAATTAAGGTGCCCCTTAAACTTTCGCCCGGTATAGGATACTTGGGAAACCTGCGCCATTCAAATTACACATACGAGTACTAACGTTTAATAAAGTAATTCAAAGAATAAAAACATTTGCATTTATTATCGTACACTGATCAATAGATGTTACTATGATGAGATAAAAATACATTAGACATGTAAATTATGAAAAAGTTTCGTTTTCGCTTCGATTTCTGTTTTTGCTGCCCTCTTGAAAATTCCGCCTGTGTGCGGTGCACGCTCTGCATATCGCACCCGGCGACCTTGAGGCAGCGCTTTTCACTTTTTTTGTTATTCTTTGCATTCATGGAGCCTGGTAATTTCTGGTCTGAGGGGATTTTCCTAGTTCAGGTACCAGTTCCTTAGAAATGTGCGTTTCGTTTAATTATGTAATGATGTTTCATACATTATGTAACTTTTGTGAAAGAAAATAAATAAATTATTATTATTATTATTTACGTTTTAAGATACAGTCAGTATTGAGAAAGTGGAATTCTAAGTGTTAGATCTGTAGATAGATAGATAAAATGATAGCTAAAATGTTTCTTTAAAAGTACCGTTTAATTTTTTTATGGTGTAGAAGGGCTAACGAGCAGACGGGTCATCTCATGTTAAGTGACTACCGCCACTCAAAGACACAATGACATGTAACTCAACCCCATCCCAAGAATCAGGGGGAGAAGGGTTGTGGAAGCCGGTGATCTCAATTACTTGGTGAAAAGTAACGAAAGAATTGCTCAACACCAGTTTTCCGTAAGTTTGTGGTAGCACTCCGGTCGAGCCGGCCCATTTTTGTATGAGAATACCTCTCCCACGGTTACTATAGTTATTTACTAAACCCCTTAAGAATGTTAGTACTAAGGATTAGTGCAAGTAAGCGCATTCATCATCATCATCAAAAGCCTTTAATAGCCCACTGCTGGACAAAGGCCTCTCTATTAAAAGGAGGTTTTGACCTATTATACCAAGCGGGCCAGACGGGTTAATATAGGGTTTGTTTCAAGTTTTCTTTCTCTTTGCAGTGCTATTGTCCTGTGTAGTTTGCTCCTTTAGTCGGCTCTTACTCTTACTTACCACTCCGTGTGGTGGCGGGTTAAGAATACACAGTGTCACCCCAAGCCAAGCGTATTGGTAGACGTGATTTTAGGATTTTTTTATGACGTCAATCTTGTCCTATTAGATACTTGTGCTAGTGGTTACAATAGATAATTTAAAACCACAGATAGTTGCGTAGACAATGTAGGCCCCTACCTACTTCTGCTGATACTAAACTCATTAAGATAGACACCTTTTGTACCTATTTGTATATTACTGTAGGTATATAGATTCTTGAATGTTTTACCTTTTTACGTTACCAATGTTACATGTATGGAAGAATGACGAATCACAGTTTTTAAAGCGTAAATCTTAAAATTAAACATTGTTTACTTTTCGCTAATCCGATAAGTGTTTTACAAATTAAAATGGATTATAATGGTCAGAACAATTACCGTAACGTACCAAGTAATATAGTTGGAAATGGTTTTTAGTTAAAACAATCAGAAAGCTATTGACTTTGTATCAGATACTTAGCACATCATGACACGTGTCAAACGTAAAGAGATAGACATGAAATTATTATTTATTAAGATAAATATTACGCCCGAGTTTTTATGCCAACAATTATTTCGTTACTTTGTTAACCTGTCTTAAAAATACAATCACTTATCAATGAGTAAAGAATAGATGTACCGTAGCCATCTCGTTAAATGCTGTTCGATTAGTAGGTACAAGCCATCCCCGGGCACGGCGTCATCGCGTCGGTAAGACCCGTTATGGAGGATTGGCTCGAGAGGCGTCACGGGACCCTCTCATACCGACGGATGTCGGATACCGATGGATGTCTCGGGGATCACCTGTGTCTGATCCGCAAGGAGCCAACGCCTGAGTGCCACCACTGAGATGGCCAGACCGTGGACACGGCTCTCCATACGCTGACAGAGTGCCCGGCGTGGGTTGAGCAGAAGCGAGACCTCGTGGCGGCCATCGGAGTGGGAGTTCTTTCACTCGATAGCCTGATTGCGGCTATCGTGCGGAGCGAGAGTGCGTGGAACTCTGCCGTCTCCTTCTGCGAGCAAGTTATACTCGCGAAGGAGACGGCGGAGCGGGACCGGGAGAGGTTTAGGACTCTGCCGGCCCGCCAGGCCCGGGAACGGGCCAGGTACCGCAGGCGACTCAGGCGCCGGAGGTCGCAGAACGACCTCCGTCCTCCATAAGCGCAGGCCTGGGTGTGACAGGTGAGGCCATCTGTCAGCCTAGCAGAAGCAGGTAGCGGCGAGCGCGTTGCGAAGCGCCAGGGAGCAGAGGGAACATGGGGTTCCCACACGGGGAGGGGGGGGGGGGGTCGTCTACTTGTTGTAGATGGTCCGAGGTATGTCGGGGCACCAGGGATTTCCGCAAGAAAAAAAAAAGAAAAAAAAAGGTACAAGTACCCCAAT